TATGTTTAACCTTCAGAGGCAGATATACATTTAGATTGTACAGTTTCCGCAAGATAAGAGAAATTTGAGCAGAGACATTTGTGAATGTCGTTGTTAAAAGTTGATTTTTTAGTCCAAGCATTGCATTGAACCTACAAGATCAATGGAGTACCCAAATCTTCTCATATTGAGATTGAATGACACAGCTCAGGGTATTTAATGGTGGATCGTGGCTTTTTTTTATTTTATCTTTTAAAAGAAGCAAACCTATTCAATTTATAACTGCTCAGAGAGAAAGAGAGCAATAAAAGGGGAGAGAGAGAGAGAGAGAGAGAGAGAGAGAGAGACAGACAGAAGGAGAGGGAGTGAGATAGCGGTGGTGAGAGAGAGAAAGAGAGAGAGGAAGAAAGAGAGAGAGAGGGAGAAAGAGAGAGAGAGGGAGTGAGTGACAGAGAGAGTGAGAGAGTAAGAGAATTTTCCGAAACTCACTTTTTACCTAATTTAATAAATAATATCGGAAAACTCGTCTTAATAAAAGGATCTAAGGTGGAATCAGGTAGTTCAAGTGAGCTAGTGACTAAAAGAATATATATCAGCTTTTGGGAGATCTTTTCCTCCTCTTCTCTTTCGTTACGATTTCGATTTTAGTCAGGTGATCTTAAAAATTGCCAGAACTATTTGTGAAGTCGCTTTGAAGACGTTTTAAATACAAAGCATTTATAAAGTGAATATAATAAACGTAACTGTGTGTACAAAGAACAACATTTCTGTGCCCGTTAGCAAAGTAAAGCTGCGAATAGAAAATAACAATTTTTTTTATTTTTTCAAAAAAGTATTTAATTATTATTATTAGTTTAATTAATTTAGCCAGAGAAATAAATTCCAAAACTAAAACCAGCATTCCTTATGCTAACACGTTTATTGAGATTTGAACCCACAACCATTGAGTTATTAGTCGAGACCTCTTCTCACATCATGTTGTACTCAACAGGCATTCAACTTTACCTAATTAAAGACAATGTATTTTCATAGGAAGAATGTCCAGAATAATATTTACTAGCCTTGGTTTTGTATGGGCGTGGCTGACTTTTTCTTGCATAAAATAAATTTAAAAGACTTCAGACTATATTTCCCAATTTATAAGTAACGAGCTAACTTCCACAAGCTTTTGCTCGCAACAGACACGCAAACCGACGAACGTGGCTAACTGAATTCAGAGTTTGGCGCTGGTCGCTGAAGTTTTTGTTTGGGGTGTTGCAAACATTATAAGAAAGTGAGTGTATACCCATCTTCCGGCGTTGGACATTAAAAGACTTACTCCAAAGAAAAGCTATCTTGTTCGCCTGTTTTCCTTTGAACACGCTAATAGATCACTTGTGAATCCAACAGGAAGCACGAAATCACGAAAGCAGGAGAGAGGATCTAAGTTCTACTTTATGGAGATTAAAATTTGTCTACCATTTTGTTTTTTTTGCTTTATGAATTTTATTTATTACAATTTTTTTCTTATCATTTTTAAGAAATTTTGCATTCTTGTCCAATAACACTGTTTACTTACCCTACTTGAAACTCTTTTATGCTAAAAACTGAAATTTTTGTTAGTGGAAAGGTAATCAAATTTTCTCATATAAACAATTTATATTAAATTTCACAAATCTTAGCTAAAAAAAAAGAAGAAATAATGTTAAAGGAAAATATTTAGATATAAAAAATTTATTATTATTAAAAAACAAAAAAAAAAAAGGAAAAGAAAACAAAATATGAAAAATGGAAAGAGAAAGTCACAAAATAATAATCACATCGATTTGGTTGTGTTGCTTTAAGGTACGGGCCAGAGTATAATCTCATGAAATGAATAAATAGGTGTTGTTGTTATATAAAAAAAAAAAAAAAAAAAAATGAAAACAAACTCGAACTCTGGCTTTAACTTAAATGAATGTTAAAGCGTTTGCTTAAAGCTTTAAAAAGTTTTTTTTATTAAGTTTTCGCTTTGTTTATATAATTATTATTATAAATAATTAATTCTATTGTTATATAAAATGTAAAAATTTTCATTCTTATTATTTATATGTATTTGTTTATAGTAATTTTGTTAGATTTATTTTCTCATTTAATTACTGAACGAAAATTAAACGGAAAAAATTTGTAATTTCTATGAAATATATTCTACAAATATATTTATGTATATATATATATGTATATATATATATATATATATATATATATATATTAATATATACATGACTATGCGCATATATGTATGTATATATGTATATATATACATCATATATATGTGTTTCAAAAGAAGAAACAAAAAAGAAATGAAATCATATTAATGTAAAATCATGAGAAAAGAAAGTATAAAATAAAAAATCTTTAAAACGAAAGAACAAAAATTCGTAAAAAAATCAATCCTGACTTTCAGTTTTACAGAATATTAGGCTACCGCAAAAATCATAATGCCTGCTTTGTATGATCCAAGTTATTCAAATAACTTACGTACAAAATATGTCATCTCTCATGTAATTAAGCAGAGCGATTTTGACAAACATCTTTCTCAAGTGCTGTCGGGGTCTCTAGGGAAAATACGGTCAAACGGAGACCATAGGTAGACTAAGCTGCCTTCATTTTTTTCTTCGTTAGAAGGTGCTAGTTATAGTAACTGTCTGCGGTGTGACCGACGAACGTGAGAATCCCTCCCATTTCTAGCAATGTACTTAGCTTGCAATGCCATTTTGGCAAACCTAGACCAAACCTGTAGATCTTTTACACATAATTTGAAGCCGAATTTCCAGATTTCTTCTACTCTGAATTGTTATCCATTTACAATACTTGTACAATGTCCCCATTTAGCGGTTCGAACGATGAAATACATCAATGCAAAAGAAGAAAACTTCGTGATCTGATGCAAAAAGCGTCCACGACGTAGACTACCACTCGTTTCAAAGAAACACCATTGAGAATAAAATTTTATGCTAGCGAGCACTGAAGACCAGTATAAACTGTTAAATCAATGCATAGTGAAACTCTCATAGTCTTAAGTTTAGGCGAAAATATTCATTTCGGTTTATTTCGCGAACGCTTAGCCTGCCACCTCGTCATATGTGTCAAAAGCAGTCCAGATACATCACTGTATGTTGGTTGCAATGCGGTTGAATGTGTGGTCAATTCTTGTCTTTTGTTAGGCTGAAGCACGTGCAATTTACATTACACGCACGGAAAGGATTTACGTAAAGGATTTAATCGCGAATTCCTTCTGTTTCCCTCGGTCTTAATCGTCTGCTAGTGATAACGGATAATTTTACCTAAAACTTTGAAGAATATCTTAGATAAAAAAACTCAGCATCGACTATTTAGAAGAAATACTCTATACATTTCAACGGAGTCAAATAAAAAACTTGCCGAATACAGAAATTTTCAATTTAATTATGAGTCAGAAAGCGAATCGTAATCGAGTGCAAAACGATTGCACTTCGTCACTTATCTTGTTCTACCTAGGATAGAGAGAGAGGGAAAGAGAAAAAGAGAGTGAGAGAGAGATAGGAAGTGCTTTCGCACAAATTTTCTTTCCGACTTCTCTACTGAACGGAGAAGGCGGAGGGCTTCAGGATGGACGAGATTTATTTTTCGAAACTGGTTTATTTGAATTTTTTTTAAATAACTAACTAACGCAAAGGCACCCATTGGCGTAAGTAATTCTCTGCATCAATTAAGACGTGTTCACATTATTAAGCCCAAAGATTTATTTGACGAAGGGTTCATATCTTACATCTTATGTTACCCCCAAACCATTTAACATGCTTCCACTTATATAAACTCCTTCGAAAGGCTTGTTTACGTTTGTCAAGAGTAAAAAAAAAAATCATTATATGAAAAATCTTAAAGCTACAATTCCACAAGCTCAGCAAGAAAAACAATGCGCTCTTACTCTAGCATCAGAATCGTAAACTCAACAATGAGAACTTAGGTAATGAATATTTAATGCGCTTACTAATGATTCGCGATAATGATAATAATTCTGCGCTGCTGCAGCGAAAATAAGTCACCAAATATTTTTGTGTCCCATTGCGTTTAACAATTTTTTATTTATTTTATATTAATATGGTAAGGAAAAAATATCCGACGCGTTACGTAAAAAAAAAAACAAGCGTAAAAAAACAAGCGTGAATGTTGACAACAACGTACAAATAGAACAAATAAAACGTAATAGAAGTTTGGTAAGCTAGTTGGTCCTCATTTATTCTAAGAGAAGAAGAACCGAAATATTATGAATAAACATTTTCAACAATGTTTAGCTTATACGAAATCTACATGGAAGCAGGTTAAATACGAATACAAGAGGCCAAAGTACTCTATAAAGCGTACAAATATTTTGATTTGTTTAGGCTTGGGAATGCTTGTAAAGATTAAAGCATAAAAATGGAACTAAAAAAATACTGCAATAGTAAACATACGAAGTTTAAAGAAAAAAAAAAAAAAAAAAAAAAAAAAAAGAAGAAACTAAGAATAATACAAATAAATATAAACAAAGATAGAGAGAGAGGGAGAGAGAGAGAAAGAGAGAGAGAAAAGGAAAGAGCGAGAGAATTAAGTAAAAACCACAACTAAACAAAGTAAAGACGAAAATTTATGATCAATAATCGTCTGGCTATGACATCATGTGAGAGTGAGATCACAATTTTGTTTATATTCCCATAAAAAGCTTCACTTTTTATAGAAGCAAAGTGTAAAGCTTTGCTTAATAGGAAAACAAAAGTCTCGAGTTTGAATTGAGTACGCTTTACGTTGAGACAGGTGAGTTAACACAACAGTTAACGTTTGCAAGTAAATCAGTTAAGACGTGGTCGGCTAAAAAGCGATACGCAAAAGAAACAACAAAAAAAAAACAAAAAAAAAAGAGAAGAGAAACAAAAAAGTGTGTTGAAAAAACATTTTTTTTTTTTTATATGCTTTTTACTCAAAAACAATTCAAAATCAATTTAGATTTTTTTTTTTTTTAAGTATAGAAATATTTGTGTTTAAAAAAAAAAAAAAAATATATTACAATTTTTAATTTGCTTTATAGTGCGTGTAGGTGTTTTCATGAAATTATAGAAAGTTTTCTTTAATATGTATCTTTGATTTAATTGCGTGTTGGATAGATGTAAAAAAAAAAAATGAAAACAAAAACAAAAAACTATTTCTCGCTTAATACTTTTATTGTTTAACTTAATTCAAGAGTTTTTGAATCTAGTTTATCTCTGTATAGGTAAGCGGGCGTGTGTACTTGCTCTTCTATGTGTGTGTATGCGTGTGTGTGTGTGTGTACGTGTGTGTGTGTGTGTATGTGTATGTGTGTGTGTGTTTCAATCTATGTGTGGGTTTACTGTTTACTAATTTCAAGATAAACTTAATTTGTGCCGCTTTTGTTTGTCATTCATTCACATAATTGCTAGTTTTTTCTGTTTCAGTTTCCAAGTGTCAGATTTTTTTTTTTTTTTTCATGTACACTGCATATATATGCAATTAATTTTTATTTTTAGTTTTCAACTAAAACTAATTTGGTTTTGCTAGGTTGTTGTGCGTTCTCATGTTTGCGAAACACGAAATAACTAAACCAAACAACGAATTTACAACTTTCAAGGTCAGCTGTACAGAGAGATTTGGTTATTTTTTCTTTACATTGATTTTTTAATAAATTCATTCACCTGAAGTTTTTTTTTTTTTCATCTTTTGAAAATAAAAGCTTTAGATTTAAATGCTCTCCCACCCACTAGTAGCTATTAGTTATCTAACTGTTTCAATGACTTAAGTTTGTACCCTCCACTGCAAGATAACGTATACTTACTTAATACATGTCTTACAAAATTTATTATTACCTTCTACTCTTCAACATTCATTCTGAATTAGTTGAAGCAAGAGCGCTAATCTATACGTTCGTTGTTGCACCTCTGATCCTTGCAAAAGCCGAAAAGCAACAAGAAGGCTTATAAAATATTATCGGTGATAAGTTGTATCTTATAGGTATTAGTGATCTAACTGTTTTAGAAATTTAAGTATTTACCCTTCACTGCAAGATAACGTACACTAGTTTAAAACATCTCGTACAACATATAAAAATACTGTCTAGACTTCAAAAGACATTCTGAATTGATTGAAGCAAGGGCGTACATCTGTTCGTGTGATGTTGGGCCCCTGATCTCCGTAAACGAAAAAAACTTAATCCATGTTGACGTTGATAGCTTGTATCTTACCTAAAATTCCTCAAGCATCAACACCTAAGAGTATGGTAAAATTCAAAGCCATGTCAATCTGTCTGTCCATCTTTCCGACCGTCTTCACAAAACATTTTTGTAATTAATATGATTACATTCTCTTAGAAAATAGACTCTTGTTCCACCCACAAGCACCGTTGTATTAAATTGCTAAACAAATCAAAGAATAAAAGTTTGAAAGTATTCTTATCAACGAACCACAAAGAAACAAATGGCAAAAAAAGGCTTAAGAGTTCAATTAAAAGGTCATTCTCATCGCTCTATTAGCATGTTCACAGTCAATAAAAAGCTTTGGGATGCAAAACATATAACGCACAAATAGGAGGGTAAGGATACGATCTGAGGTTAGTGTAGATTGTGTGACTTGTTTATGGGTGGAGCAAGACGTGCCGGAGGTGAGATATAAAATAGCTCCAGTCATTGACGAAAGTAGAATTGAACTCTAACTCAATACGTCAACTTTGACATTTTGAAGGCTTAATATTTTCTAGACTACTTGATATAATAAAAGTGGTTGATTGCTAGCTAACCAGAAAGCATGAAAGAAGATGAGCTTACTTTTGTATCTTTCTTTCGATGCTTCTGTTTGTTATTCTATCCTATAGTTTTTCTATTTCTTTGTATATTCAACTTAATTATTTTTATTAACAACTCTTTCAATGCCAAGACACCGCAATTCTTTTGTATTTGTTTTTCATCTTTACATCTAACCGTTATTTGGTAGTCATGTCACACCTCTGCCTTCTTGAATTCTTTTCCATAATTTCACTTCTCTAGATCGTATAATTATAGTTATTTGTCGTTTCTTTTCATCACATTTGTAATAATTTCGTAAAGAAGGCCCAAGAAGGTAAAGAATCGTCTTCTACTTTGCACGCAAAAAAAAAAAAAAAATACTTGGAAAAATCGTAAACATTCATTAATCAATCTAAAGTTTAGCTTTGTTCTCTCTTCATTTAATATTTCTTTTTGATTTTTCTTTTTCGTTAAGCTATTCTTATTACTTTACTTTGTTCATTATTGCTTTTTAATTGTTACGCAGAATATTGTTCGCGTCAGAGAAAGACAAAGAAGATTGAGTCAAATATTTTTGTTTTATTAATTTCCCTTCCATTCGCCGCCTTACGTCATCCAAATAATAATTTAAAAATACTTATATCTCAATAGAGATCTTCAATTATTGACATTGCTGGCATTGGACATTAGCTGTAGGGTTAGCCTCATCCATTTTTCAATTAGCACGAGCAATATGTTTAACATATGTTTAGCATTAGCATTAGTGCTAGCACTGGCATCAACAATGCTGTTTACGTTAACAATAACATTAGCATTAGTGTGAAAACTATTCTCATCCATTTTACACTTTTCCAGTTAGCATTAGATTTAGCAGTACGTGTAGCTTTAGTCGAATTATTAGTGTTGTCTTTAGCGTTAACATTACTGTGTTGCCGTTTTCATGCTCATTAACATAAGCGTAAGTTTTATCATTACCACGGGCAGTAATAAAAGTCTAGTACTGTTTTTGTAGTTAACATAAATATTAACATTAGGCCTAGCATTAACGCAAGCGCTATTGCTATCATTAGCATTTGGATTATCATTATCGATTCATCATCCATTTTTAAGTTAGCATAATGCATTAGCGCTAGAATTATCATTATCCTCACTGTTACCCTTAATAGTAAGTAGTATCAATATTGCCGTTAGCGGTACGACTGACCGCATTTATTTTACATTTAGAAGTAGTATAAGCATAAGTGCTATCCCTAACATCAGCGTGACTATTGCCATTCACACCGTTATACCGTTAACTTTAGCATTGGCTTATGCATTTTTATTAATATTAGCATTTGTACAAATATAAGAATAAGTGCTTGTCACAAGCCCTTTGGCGTTAACATCGCTTCATTGTTAACGTCACTAGCATTAACTTCCGCTTTCGGTTACCATTAGCATCACACGTCATTGTGTTACCGTCAGCATTGGAATTAGCAGTTACATTAACATGAGGATTATTAATAAACTTAGCATTATCATTACAATTAACCGAAGCATTATCACAAGCGTTAGTTAGCATTAGTATAAGTAAAAAAAATTGCTTTGCCATTAGTACAAACTTTATGGTTATCATCAACATTAGCATTAGGTTGAGCATTACTGTTATTATTACGATTAATGTTATCATTCTGCTTAACGAGAGAGAACCTTAGCATTATCATTACATTTAACGTAAGTACTACTAATACAATTACCGTTAGCATTATTATATGGATTTCATTATTCCCGAACGAAACGAAATGCTAATCTTATCTAAAGATGGGCATAGTAGAATATTTACTAAAAATTATCAGCATTGATATGCACTTATCGATGACTGTTGCTATACACGTCTCTCTGAACGTGATTAAATAATTTTAAAACACTTATCTTAATTGAAAGTGACAAAACCACAACAATTTTTAAATATTCATTAGTCAAGTGAAAACCTCAAAATGAAAAATTCATTAAAATGGAAAACAGCAAAAAAAAAAAAAAACAAACAAACAAAAAATGTGCACACTTTAAATAAAGCGGAATTACAATTGGCTGAGGATATGAGTGAACTAATAAAAAGAAGAAAAAAAAATAAATAAAAACCAACAACAATACATGTGATAGAAGTTTAGAACGAATTTATGGGACTGGCGATCTCAAGTAATGGAGTACGTAATAATAATAATAATAATAAAAAAAAGGTGTAGAAGAAGGTGTAGCTTATATCAAACGTAAGGCTTTCCCTAACAAATACTCAAAACGTCCCACTAGATATGCTTGTAGGCGGTAGCGCCAGAGAATGTAGTAAGTATTAGTAATCGAAGTAATAGTTAAAGAACTGAATATTATACGAAAGTTATATCTGTGCTATCTATTACGTCTATCTATTTTAACTAAGCCTTATTTATTCTCATCGAAAGGTTTTATTAGATTTCAAATCAATATCTGCTACGTACCAACAGCAAGCTTTTGACAACAAAATTTTGATTTTTTTTTTTTTTTTTGCGCTGTTGCGGTTTTCTATTTTGAGGTTTTCTTAGGCATAGCTAAAAATAAAATTTGTCTTTTTATCGCAAGTCTTTCCGATTTTAAGAATTTCAACAATAGCTGGACCTACAGACAAATTCATATATAAAATACAATTAAATCAGCAGTGCAGGCGAAAATTGTGTTCTATCAGGAATGTAATCAAGAACAAGAGAAGTACGTTATACTTTAAATATTTTTGTGTAAATATATATATCGGTCATAAATTAAGAGCACAACGAACATAACAAATAAGGAAACTGTAATTGCCTTGAGACAAAATGTGAATAATCAAAGGGAAAAATAAAATAATTAAAAAATGATATGTCAGTGGACGGCGATTGAAATCATTTAACGATACTTAAAGCTTACATAAATCGAATTAATGAATAGCTCAAATTTCTGAAATCTATAACCTCGATATAATCGATAAAAATGAATATAAAAAAACACATTTATACATATATATGCATATATATAATGCACTTTTCAAACTTTTGCATGTCACTCGAGTTTTATAGTTATTGCGAGTATGTTTATTGCCAGAAGCGAATTGTGCAGAAATTATATATAACTAAACAGAAAAGGGGAAATTTGCAAGAAAAAATATGGACCGTTGAGCATTTCTAAGTGAACGCAATATCTTCTAATAAACCTTATAAAAAATCTCTATATATGTGGGTCATAAACATGTACGTAATTATTTTTTCATATATCTATAATATATTCGGTGATATACCGACGCATTTTATTGATTTTCCCTGCATTCCGACATATGTTGTCTCTTCACACGCATAACGCAATAGCCTTAGTATATATCAAAAGTTGCACCACCTTAGCGAGGGTAATCCAGTTATATTAGTACGTACTTGTTCGTCCGTCTATAGCGTTTGCACATTCATAATTGCGATCTGCTTTTATGTTTGGAATGCGCGTAAGTCTTTCCACGCTAATAAAGAATTTGAAAAAAACTGTATTGTATGTTGCGAAAAAGCGTCTTTGATGCCTGATGGCCACAAATATTGATAAATATTTTGTTGTAAATACATATATAAAATATTTCTGCAAATATATTCATTACATACATAAATATTATTTATTATTTATGTTTACCTAAGAGTGTATATATATAATATACAGTTCTATACATAATATATAGTTACATATGGAATGAAAGGATTAGTGTACAGCTTATCTCTCGATGGTGAATATAAAATTTACTTAAAGCTTTTTTTTCGTTTTCGTAGATATTGTGATATGTGAACAAGTTTGCGTTTATAGTTGTGTAATCACATTTTTTTAATAATAAACGAACTATTCGTACATAGCCTTAGGGAATAAATCATTTCCAATATCTCGTTCAATGTTATTGTGCGAACAATATTTTTTATCATATTATTATTCTAAAATATATCATAACATGATTAAGTATTACATTCGCAATCATTTATTCCATACCAAAATATCTTAATTCGACCATAAGTCGATCAGAGGGGGAATAAATTAAATTGTTTTTATTCTTGAGCTCAATACTTTTTAGACCAAATTATTTCCCTATATATGTATACCGCACATAGATAGTTAGATAAAGAATTTATAACATGTGGTGATTGCTAAATAAAAAAAGACAACAAAATAATGAAAAAAAAATAAATAAATACGTTAACAATCACTCGAACTGATATTATTATGAAAAAAACAGAAGACTTAAGCAACAAGCGTGTTTAATAAAATATTTTGTATGCCTTTTGGTTAGTGTGTGATCCAGCCGTAAGTAAAAAGCGTAGGCTATTTAAACTTCAGCACATCAATTCAATGGATTGTTTTCATTTAATTACGAGCACACAATCACTCAAACTTGAATTAAGACTTTAGGTAATAATTACTAAATCAAAGTTTAAAATACATATAAAAATTAATGGGAATCCAAAATATTGCTGAAAGCATTAACTAAAGTGAAATCGAAATTTATTTTTATTTTAAAAATAACAATAACAACATTTTACAGCGTTTGATTCCTCGTTTAAGTTTTGCCTTTGAAGACAATATCAACATTGTAGGTGTGATTGTCGGTATTTCAAAGCAATTTTCACATAATAACGACTTTGCAAAGTAATAGGTGTGGAGTATCTTTACAAAAAAAAAAATAAATAAAAAAAATAAAAAAAATAAAATTACATTTGTTTTTTTTTTTCTATTTTTAGTAAACAAATTCTATGCTCAGAAAGTTTGTTTTCCTATAAAATTATTTAAAAAGACTTTGGCTTACGCCCACATTAAATTTGTTATTTATTGTTCTGTGGTGTTCTTTTTTTAAATTTCCTTGAAAAAATTGTATTAAATCTCTTTCGTTTGATTTGAATTGCAATGCTATGGCAATACTAACGTGCATTCAATTTAAATCAACGCTTTTCTTAAAGTAGGTCAACTATAATACCATTGACTTTGATTTGAGAAAGAATGGTATAATGTTTTTATGAAAAAAGATCGAAAGATTATTATGAGAAAATCCGTTTTGGGGTCGGAATACTTGAATACATTTAATTAAGAGTCGTTAGGTAAGCAAATTTTATTTGCATGGACTTTTAACGGGAACAAAATGCAGCCCTGTAAGGTGGAAAGAAATTTGCGTACAATCTGCTACAGCTGTCGCTCTCTACCCACAAGTTCGAAGCTCTATATTCATATAAACAGATCTGGCATATATTCAATGTAAATATTTATGCTATTAAAGGGAAAGTCCTGTAGCAATGTTATTCTCCCAATCTTCTTCTTAGCGAAAACCAGTATCGTGCGCAACACGTGTGGGCAATAATGTCTACAATGACTTACCTTTACGGCGTAAACCGGCGGACAACATATAGAGCAAACAATGCGTTCTTCATGCCCACCAGCGGGATTTTACTTCCCTTGGTTAGTCCTATGTTACCTTCTAAGACTCCAGACCGTTTGCCCAGTTCGATCCAATATACATTCACATATATGCGAGCGAGCATCGTGCGAAAAACGAATGGGCAATGATTGGCGTACTTTCATGGTGCAAACTGGCCACCCGCGGACTAGACATAAGTTGTCCTCTAAGTTTCGAGAACGATAACTCAATAAGATACCTCTATATGTAAAACTGCTTTTTGTTGAGAGGAAGCTTTGCTAAAACCTTTACTTTCCTTTGAGACGAATATCCACATATTTTCGCATGCTCCATGCATGCTCTTCGCAGTCTAGTATGATACTTCTCTAACTTTGCATGTAATGGCAGCCACTCTGAAACTTCTCGAAGAACTATTACTAAAGGCCAGACTAACATTTAGAATACTCTAAACTACTTCATACCGGTAATATCAAGATCTAAGCAGCAATCGATTTTCCAATGACTATCGATCGAATAGGCTATTGTTAATCTACCATCTCTCTTGAATGAGATATGACTATAGAGACCAGAAGTCATGTTCCAATAGATTACCTAAACTTCTTCTCCGCAGATATACAATTAGCTCCAGAATGTCAATTGTAAGGCAGCAGAAGAAGAAAACAAACCTGCTTACAAGTCCATACTTATGATAGGCTTCTATAATAATTCAATCTCGGACTTAGTTTTTACATTTATAAGTAAATGTTAGATGGAAGTTGGAGCGTTTTGTTGCGCCCCTGAAAGTTGCAAGTATAAATGGATAGAGGAACAGATTTGCGATTATTCAACCTCAAAACGTATTTAAGCACACACAAATGAACAAAATGAAAGGGATAATATGATTCAACCTCATATATATGCCACTGAAAACATATCACTTTCAGGCTGATATATATATACATATATCATATACATATATTTTGGCATTTCTGAGTCACGTAATCAATTTTAAAGTATTAATAAATGTTTTGCTTACATCATGCCACTTAAATGTATACACTTTTGCTCTCGATTTCCTTTCTTCAATGTTTAACCTTTTCTGTTAAATTGTTAGTTTATTATATATATAATGAATGGAAATTCATTGTAGATTTAAACTAATTTTTCTGTTTTATTAAAACAAAATAATTGAAATCGTTTAAACTCCCCTTCCTCTGGTGTTTATCTACAAATCAATCAATATTTTTGTGTTTTCCCTCTCATCATTTTATGTCTCAGTTCATTTCATTGATTTTATTTTATCTAATCGATATAACGTGATTTCTCCGTTGAATGCTTCTTATTAAGCATTTTTCTAGAATGACTTATCGCCATTAATTTGATATGATGTCAGTCATAAGTTGTTTTTATATGTTATCCATACATACATATATATATATATATATATATATATATATATAATGTCATGTTTATCTATAAGTTTGTCAACTTGTGTCTGATATTTTGTAATGATGTTTCAAAAATTCCATTCTATTCTATTAGAGCTAAGGTATAGTAAACAGAGCATACGACACTTTTCATATGATTATCGCATTTATTTGATTTTAAGGCATTCTTTTTCATTTTCCTGCTAACTTACGTTATACGATCCTATGCTACAGGAATAGCCATTGATGTGGCGATTCGCTTCAATACGTCGACCTTTTCGAATCCTGAGTATTTCTTGCACTCACTATCTTCACCCGTAATGTTAAGGACATCAGACGTTTACTAAACTCATGTTTCCTATAA